TCCAATTAGCCATAACCAAAATAAATCTACACCCAGACATATAATAATCAAGATCTCAGAAATTCAGCACAAGATTAGAACATTAAAGGCTGTTCAAGAAATGAAAAAGATCTACAAAGGAAAAACCCATCAGAATCATGACAGATTTTTCAACACAAATCATCAAGTCAAAAAGTTTGAAGTGTTTCATATCCTGAGAGAAAACAACTTCCAACTCATATTAATGTACCTTGCAAAACTATCTTTCAAAATTGATGAAAAAATAAGGTAGTTCCATGATAAAGAATAACTGAAGGAATTTATGACCACCGAACCAATACTACAAAGAGTGCTGAAGGATATTCTAGAAAAAGATAAAAATGACCATGGCTCTAGGAAAAGCAGCAGAGGGGGATTGCTACACAGGGGAGGTAACTGCACTAAGGAGAAAGTGGGGGGCCAATGGCTGGAGGATAACATGGCAGAGATGAATCAGTGCATGCCAGTTGTAACCATTAATGTAGATGGTCTCAATTCACCAATAAAAAGAAACACAGGCAGAGTAGATCAAGAAACAAGATTCATCAATATGTTGTTAGGAAATTCATAGACTGAAAATCAAAGGAGAGAAAACAATTGTTCCCTGTGACAGGAAACCAGAAAAAATCAGGGTTAACTTGCCCATCAACTGAAGAATGGTTAAGAAAGATATGGTATTTTCATACAGTGGAAAGCTACTTGACTACAAAGAAGGGTAATCTCAAGGTTCTTGTAGGTAAATGGATGCAACTTGAGATCATGCTCGGGGTGAAATGGTTTGAAATCATAAGCATGAATATCATGTTATCTTCTAGCATAAAAACTGAAGGAATTAGTGGGATCCAAGACATACAATAGACATTATGAAAATGATAGGGAAGGAACCCTTTAAAAAGGGAAGGTGATAACCATTGTTAATTTCCTATAATCTTGTTTTGAATTCCTGCATTGTTTTCATAGTTTTGTTAGGTTTGGTTTTATTCTGTCTTATTCTGTTTTATTTTACTGTGTCTGATAGTATAGACATAGTAAATAGTTGTTTTGAAGATAGCAGGATGTATTATGGTAGCTATTGTTAGTTTTGAAGTCCTGTAACAATTTCACTCTTTTTTTTTTTTTTGGTACTGTGGATGGAACTCACAACCTTGTGCTTGCCACGCAGACACTTGTGCTGCTGAGTCAAACCTCGATCCACAATTTCACTCTTTTATTTTGATTGATTTTATCTTGTTCTGTTTTGTTTGACTTTATTATATCTGATGGCATGGACAGCTATTTTGAAGAAAACAAGATACATTATGGTAGCCACTGCTGATTTCCTATTATCTTGTTTTGAAGTCTTGTATCACTTTCATTGTTCTGTTCTGATTAGCTTTACTCTGTTTTGTTTGGTTTTATTCTCTTCAAAAGGAAAGATAATTGGGATTTTTAATGAGTTTTTAAACTTACCTGAAAGGTAAGATAAACACTAAAAAAGAAGTGTTGTTAAGCAGTGTGAGTCAATTTTAGGCAACTTGTTTAGGACATAACCTTGTGGTAATACCTGTCTTTTCTATTGTGATTAGCCAGAAAAGAATCTTTTCTTTGTTACCTTTCCTTCTGATCTCCTTTGAGGAAATATTCCAAGGACAGTTGTCCCCTGGTTAGGAAAATTAACTGGTGTTCTCTTAGGACAAGTCAGTTAAATCAAGGCCAGAAAGAGCAACTACTCATTCTTTTCAAGCTCCTTGACGATTTTACAGACTAAGAGGTAGAGTTCAGAAGTAGAGGATAATACTTTCAGTTTCAAAAGCACCTTGGCTTTTTATTATCTAGAAAAGGGTCATCTTGCTACATTCTTTTATGGTAGCCTTGGGTGAATTTTTTGGAAATAATTTATCACATTTTAGAGAATGCCACCTCCACCAATTAATACAACTCAAATATCACTGTGGCTATGGGACTCTCGTGCAAGTTTAAACACTGTCAAGTTAAGGAAAGGAAAGAAATTCAGGGAAGAAAAAGGAAATTAATTGAGTATATCCTAATTTGGAAGAGAGATCAATGACAAATAGAAGAAAAAGGCAAATAGCAGAGAGACAAACAGTTTCCCTCAAGCTTCCTTATTTTAGAGCTGAGATTATATATAGGCAGCTAAAGTGGAAAGAGGAATAATAAAATACCTTCAGTCCTTTTGGAATGTCATCGTCTACTTTTCTCCTCCTTTCTTAGGTAGACAAACAAAAATTACACTGTAAACTGCCACAAAAGAAAATACAGTTAGACTCAAGTACAAAGTGCACTTTGAACTATCTTTCCTTCTTTCTCCGTCCCAAGGAACTTGAGGGAAGGTCTTGTTTTTGGGGACTGCCTGTGTCCTTGGCATTGGCTTTCCAACTGCTGGCAGCATTAGGTACATAACTTCCCCATTCCCACATGTAAAGGACAAGTCTACACCGATGTTACCAGATGGGCTTCAACAGGTCTGTTCTAGTGGCACCCTTTCAAGCCAGACTACAGCGTTCCTGTGGCAAACCCATTTTCAACGCTGTAAGTGTTTTTCATTTTCTGAGGATGTACTGATAAATAGATGTACAGCTAACTGGTGATGGCTGGCTCTATACCCCAGGGCTGTGATATTGAGCTGTGGTGGAAAGTTCCTGTGAGAGAAATTGGAGGTCCATATACTTTGTGTTAAGAACAAACTTGGAGCTGTGGGTTTAGTATGGTCTTAGCATGAGCTAAGTCCATCCCAGCACCACAGAGGAAAAGCAAAGTATACTTTAGTACAGTTCTTCTGATGAATGGTTATAGCAGTCATTCAATGGCTCATTCACTTACTTTTTGAGCATCTGGACACCCACTATGGGTCAGGCTTTGGGCTCAGCAAGCCTCATGAGGAAAGTTCAAGTGATTTTTACTATTCAATAATCCAAACTTAATTTTTAAGCAAGATTAATGAGAAGCAAATCAGCCTTAATTTTTAGTCTTTTTTTTTTTATCGGTACCAGGGATTGAACTCACCACTGAGCACTTGCAAGGCAGGTGCTTATGCTGCAGAGCTAAATCCCAGCCCCTTAATTTTTAGTCTTAATGCACTCTTGTTATACTACAGGAAGGCAGCATGATGTGGCCAAAGGAGCAATGGGCCATGAGGTGGAAATCCTGGCTTAGGTTTAGCTCTGCCATAGAGAAACTGTATGCCTCTGGGCAAGTTACCTAACCTCTCTGGGCCTCACATTCCTCTTCCTTAAAATGAGCTGGTTGGGCTGAGGTTCCTTCCATTTCTAAAATTCTTTTATTCTATGTAGTAGAATATTTCACAAAAGTTTTCTTTGTGGCCAGAATTAGTCTGGGATGCCCTAGCTCAAGTTCCCCTTTTGCTCCCTTTTGATGTTAAACCAAATATGAACAGATAGCAGTAACATTTTGTCACAACTGCCTTTTGCAGAGTGACCTTTGGAGGTCAGGCCACTGTTGCAAGAGCTAAACCCAAAGGCAATCGTCTGACCGCCTGGGGCTGGCAAGCAGCCATTCAAAGGATGGAAACGGCTGTAGGCCGCCAAGATTCTTGGCTGGTACATTTTTAATAAACATAGAACATAAGAACAGCATTTTCCACTTGGCTTGCTTAATTTGGTGCCATACCATTGGAACATTTACTGTTAGGACAAAGATGATGTGATATATAACTTATTTAGCTCAGGATGGAGTAACTTTCACCAATGAGAAATAGGTTATAGTGTCATCCATAAGGCATGTTCACCCTTGTTTCTTGTCTGGCAGGAGACAGCTTGAGTCATGGCAGCAGTATCCTCCCTCTCTCGGACCTCTAAGTTTTCCCTGAAACAACATCTCTGCTGAGTTCACTGTTGCGCACAAACTGAGGCAAACTGGTGTTTGAAGATGTGTTAAAGACACATCTTTATGAAAGACTTTTCCGGAGAGTTCAATGTGTCTGCATACTTTTTCCAAGAAAGCCTCCACAGCAACTGTTCTCTAATGTGAACAATACTTTTAGTACAATCATTTTTTCACGACAGTGAGTAGTGACTCAAAACAAGGCCCCTAGAGAAGTGGCGACTTCCAGTAGGTTTGCCCATGGGAGGCTACAGTTAAGGGCCTTGCCCTGGCCAGGCTGCAGAGATCCTAGGAAGCTGCAATTAGTCGCGTGGGTGGAAATTAGCATTCTCCCCGCACAGAGGTTAGGACTGAGGGCTCCTGCTTTCCGCTACCTGAGGCCACCCTGGGCTTAGCTACAGCTTCAGCTTGGCATTTCAGAGGCTGCAAGTTCCAAGAAGAAAATAGATGAGACTCTGGAAGCTCTTTAGTTAACTAAGCTCCTCTACTCTTTTATGGGTATCTCAGGCCCTAATCGACCCAGGGAGATCACAACCTCTTCACTGTCACCTTCCCTTCACAGTCACTGCACCTCAAGGCACTTCTTGGATGAAAGGCTCGGTGACAGGAAAGGCGGTAGCCAATTTCCCTAGTCCTCTTTCTTCCCTAGACCCTCTCCAGTTCAAGGTCCTACCAGAGTACTGAATGTGAGTGCAGACACCCGAATCCCACGACTGTGGGTCTCTGCTCCCCCGCCCCTGTTGGCTCTGACGTATACCCCGCGGTGTTCTGCACCCGCCCTGGGTAGAGGCAGCTCCCGGCTGCTGAGGCAGGAGGATGCGGACAGACACATGGGCCTCCCTCGGGTTACGGTAAGAGGCTGCCGCTGAGGGATCGGTACTGGGGCGGGACGCAGCGTGCGCCTGTGTGCGCCCCGCAGTCACGCATCCAACCCCGCATTCCCCCCCGCCGGTCACGCCCCGCCGGTCACGCACCGCCGCCCCCGCCCACGCCTGCGGCAGGCACTGGGCGGAGGAGGCGCGTCGCCCACGGGAGCCCTGGCGGGGGCTGCGGGCGTGCCAAGGACCCCGCAGGCCCCGCCCCGGAGGCGAGCACGGTCCCTGCGCGCCCCGCCCCCGCTCCGGCCCCGCCCCCGCCGGCCCCGCCCCCACTGCACACGGCCTGGCTGCCCGCGGCGCCAGCTCTGAGGAGGACGCGGGCGAGCGGAGGACGCGGCGGAGGCCGGAGGACGTGAACGGGTGCGGAGTGGCGGCGGGTCCCGGGGTTCCCGGGGTCCCCAGGCGCCCGGGCCCCCGCCCCCGGCCCCACCCGGGCTCGCAGCCCCACGCGGACATGGTGTAGCCGTCGCCGCCGCCGCCGCGTCGGACGCCGCCCCCCCGAGTCGCGGCCGAGAAGCCGGGCCCGCCGCCGGCGCCATGAGGTGAGTGGGGCCGGGGCGCGGGGACCGCTTTGTCCGCGGGGCCCCCTTTGTCCGCGGGGCTCGCCACCCGGCACCCCGCCTCGCCCGGCCGGGCCCGACTCAGCTGTCTGGGCTGGGTCCGCGAGCTGCGGCGGGGTCGCGATCCCGCGGGACGTGAAGCGGCGGGCAGGCTGGCAGGGCCTGGGGGTCGTGGGGAAGGGGGGCTTCGGGGGACGAAGGGGCTTGGACCGGCGCGTCGCTCGGCCGCTTGCCCGCCTGCCGATCGAGGTGCAGCAGCCCCCGCTCACCCCGCGGTCCCTGGTTCCTGCGGCAGAGACGTCTCGGCCCAAGCCAAGTGCATGAAGCCGCGGGCCGGGCGGCAGTGGGCTCCTTTGTGTCGGCCGGCCCGGCGGGCGGCCGCGGTGCGTGGCGTGCGGGGCTCGGCCCGGCCCGCTGCGGCTGTGCAGGGCTCCTGAGCGGCACCGACCATTCTGCGCTATCATCCTCCGGCCTGCCCGCGAGGCGACCAACGCGGATAAAGTGCGGTGCCCCACCTCTTTCCCGGAAAGATAGTCTTACTGTGCTTTTGGATTTGAATCTCCTTTGTGTTAAAAGATTAATGGTTAACTGCTGCCGAGACGTTTATAATGTAATACAGTGAGATTTGAGGACTAGAATCCACGGATTGCTTGATTTGACAAGAAAATGTCATGTCATTAGACTTCTTTCTCAACTTAAGTCGTTTCCATTTAAAACTATTTTCATTTCTATCAGAATTAAATCTACTCTTTCTCCTTTTTTAGGTCTTTTTTATGATATAGTTGTGTTTTAATTTAATCTTACTAAGAATTTGAATGATTTTATCCCGAGTCCGAGTTGCTGGGTTTTTTTCGTGATGTCTATAAAATTTTTCGAAGTGCATAGTGACCGCTTTTCTATGGTAATTTCTCACAAGTTACTTTCAAATGTAGTGATCAGGTTAGAAAGTAATTGTGGCATACAAACCAGGAACCATAAATAATCTTTGTAAAATATGACTTGAAAAACTTCAGTTATATATTTGTGTCTATTTTTTAAAGATACCACTGTCCTGAAAACTAAGGAACGGTAAATATACATGTTGCTTCATGTAATGCATATCTTTGATTTCTGCTTCACAGGTTTAATGATGTAGGGTTTTTGCAGACAAGACTGTTACCAAACTTTGACTAAATTTATCTTAACATTGAGAAATGTACAACAGTTGAAAGGAGGTTATTCTAAAGCAGAAACAATCACGAAGCTGTCTAAGTTTGTGAGCCAATAAAAAGACATCCCAAGTTTTGGGCATTCAGTAAAGTCACTATCATATATGGATGTCAGCCTGTCTCAGGAAAATTGTGTCTTCACCTTAAACGTTTCTTTTCTGGTAAAATGTAGTATTAAAAAGTAGTATTTTTAAAGCTTTTTTTGGTGCTGTTTTCCTTATGAGGAATCACATTGTTTTTTAGCACCATAAACATAGAACATGATACCCAGGTCTGAAAAGTTTAAGCTGTCTACAGTAATTCTTTGTGCGCTAATTTTGAGTAATTTAAGAACCGCAAAGAGGATCATCTTTTTCAGTTTAAAAGACAGATTATTTGATAGTGGTTTGTACAATTCTGATGTGTACGTTTATGTAGATCCATTTAAAAGTATGAGGTGAGGTAAAATTTGGGCTGTTTTTTTAAGAAAGGACTTTTCATTAATATTCGTTTAGTCTTCACGATGCTTTCAAATGCTATAGGACATATGTCACTCCTGAAATTCTTTTTTAGTTGTATGAAGGATAATCCTGATATTTCAAAGGCTATCAAGAAATAGGAATGCCAAGGGAGAGATTCCCTATTAAGTTGGTCAGAATTCTGAAAAGGAGAACTATGATGAATATATTGCAGTGTATTTATGATAAGATCTCTCAGATGAGTTAAATTTTAGGAATAGCCTGCTCTTTGAGATTTAATGCAATTGTATACAGAATGTAACTGAATAATACTTTACATTCCTGATACAGTCATACAGCATATCCAGTGCTCCTAAAGAAGAGTATTTAAAAAGTAAAAAAGTATATTATTTATAAAGGATACTATAAGTATTGAGACCAAAAAGCATGGTACTTCTAGTATCCCATCAGAGTTCTTGGTTCTGTTCAGTTTTTCATTTAGGTAGTATTTCATAAGTATACAATGGCAATACAGTGTATGCCTTCTAAGCGCTCATATTTTAAGAAATTGGCTAATTAAGATTTAGTGTAGAATGATAAGCTTGTCTGTAGTCTAGCTAAGAAGAGCTAAGATTGAGGACTGTCATTCTTGTGTCTGTGATAAATAGTCCAGGCTTTCACTAGTTATTCTTGTGTAAAAAAGGCATGATGAAGTTGTGAGGATTTGTCCAAGCCAGATATGAGCTGTGTGACCTTGAGCAAAGCAAGTCATTGCATTGACATATTTTTTAAAAGTAGAGTAAAAATAGAGGCTGATGTGATAATGGAAGATGCTTTGTATGCTTCTAAGCATCATGTAATTATGGCACGCCTCTTGTTCGAGACTTCTTTAAAATTTTTTTAAACGTTTTTTTGGTTTTTTGAAACAAGGTCTTGCTAATGTAGTTCAGGCTAGCCTTAAAGTCAATATATAGTCCAAGATAAGCTTAAAAGCACAGAGATCCTCTTGCCTCAAGCCTCCTCAGTGCTGGGATATGACACCATGTTCTGCATGAGGCTTCTGTTTTAGAATAGTTGGGTAAAATGTTTGGGTAGTTTATTTACTTCTGGACCTTTACTTTATGGATTAAAAGTTACATTGTGCTTCCCTATTCCAAATATACTGGGTTCCTTTTTTTTTTATTGGTACCGGGGATCGAACTTATGACTGCATGCTTGCAAGGCAGGTGCTTATGTTGCTGAGCTAAATTCCCAGCCCAGGTTCCATGTTAATAAGAACTTGATGGCAAAGAGTAATCTTGCTTGGATTTTAAGAGTGTTTGATTGGGATTTGGGTCCCAGAGAGACACTGGGAAGCAGTTCTTGGAATGCTCTCACTTCTGTGATCTAGTCCGGCAGTATGTTGTAAGTGAGGAATTTGCTCTTTAAGTTTCCTTAAGTGTATATGTTCATAGTTTTGGAATTAGTTGTTATTTTGTTGCTTTTATTGATGGTAATAAATGCAATATACATTTTAGATTGTGAAACAGTCAAGGACAGAAGATCCAGGTTATATCCACTGACTTGTTAATTGAGCAAATTGGTAAAATGGCAATAATCCTATTATTTCAGGATTATTCTGTCAGGTGTCAAGTGAAATATCCATGAAAGGATGCAAATAGTATTCTCTCTGTTCCCATGGGTCTTCATTTATACTTGTAGCTGTTGGATGTGTGACTCTCCCACAGAGATTTATTTTAGGAACAGGAACCAAATCTTCAATTTTTTTGAATGTCAGTATTGTATTACAGTTATTTATTGAGTGAATAAATCTTGAAAAGAAGTGTGGATAAGTAGGGGAATTTTACTGATCTTTATATAGTATTCAAGGTTTTGGATATTTTGTTAGCTCAGTTGGAGCAGACAAAATAGGCAGGCATCATTTGGCTAGTCTTGAAGGAGTTACATATGACTTGACTTGTACTATACCTGTGCTTTTCACTGAGCCACATCTGTTTTTGTTTGTTTGTTTTTTGAGGGAGGGCGTTGGCATATAGTTTAGGCTGCCCTTGGACTCACTATGTAGCCCACCCAGGCTGACCTTGAATTTGCAGCTATCCTCTTGTCTCAGCCTCTGGAGCACTGGGATTACAGATCTGTGCAATCACACCCAGCTAGGGCTGCATTTTTATATTCATGGTACCAATAAAATCCTTAATAAACGGTGGTAGTGGTATCTTTATAAATATTTGATGTAGTGATATTTACTTGTAGAATTCCATTTACTAACAAAAACAGTCACTACATTTGGAGTACCTATAATGTTCGAGAACTGCACTAGGTTCTGTAGGATGTAATAGAGTATTTGGCAGATAATAAATGTAATAGAAATATTTAGTAAAACAATACCCAGTATTCTGACTACAGAAATAGATGTAGAGTATGTTTCTTATTCATTGACAAAGCTCAGAAGTGGCCAGAGACTCAGACTTCAGTTTGTCTGATACAAGTCTATTTCTTTGATTTCATCATTAAATTCTGAAGTGAGTGAATGACCATCATACTTTTTAAAAGTTTTTTTGGTCAGTAGCGCATATGTATGTGTGTGTGTGTGTGTGTGTGTGTGTTGTGTGTGTGTTAGATAAGAGTCTTTCTATGCAGTGCAGGCTGTGGCCTTGAACTTACTATGTAGCCCAGGCTAGCTTCTGAGTGCTGGAATTACAGGCATGCGTCATCACACCTGGCAAGAACTCAAATATATTTGAGTAACAGGCATATATATCTCCCTTAGTTTCATGTATTTCTACTCATTCATTGTTGGTCTTGCTTTGATTCTTTTTAGTGCTTGAAATACCAATAAATGTCTCTAGTTTGTGATATTCATAAAGGAAGATACCTATTGGCTCAGGCTGGTGCTGTGACGAAGTCCCATAGACCAAGTGGCTTAAACAATATTTCCTCCTGGCCGCAAAGTGGAAGTCTGAGATCTACTGGCTAGAATGGCTTGGATTGGTGAAGGCTCTGCCTGGTTGCAGAAGACTACCTTCTCTGTGTATTCACTTGGTGGCATGGGAGAAAGGGTCTGGGAAGATTTGCTGGAGGGTTTCTCTGCTTTTCTAAAGCCATCTGTCCTATTAGATTAGGGTCCAGCCTGTATAACTTCATTTAACTTAATTACCTCCTAAAAACCTTTGTCCAGATACGGTCACGTTGTGGCTTAGAACATCAGCATGTAAATGTTAAGAGGACACAATTCCGTATAACAGAAAATTACCTGCATTTCTTGGGTCAGTGTGTATTGATTGCTTTGATGGAAGGTAAACTGTATAATGCTTAAGCAAATCATAAGTTTTGATTT